ATTGACTCAAGTTATCATCTAGATCGTCTCTATGAGTGGGCTGAATGGCTGAAGCCAACATTGGTTGTAATTTTTGAAGGAAGTTGGGTAGGATTCTGTGTTTATTCATGTATTCATGTATCTCTGTGCCCATCCCCAAATGTCCTAAAATTGGCAACTAATCATTCCCTTATCTGATGTAGGTGGGTCATCTGTCTATGTGTTATTTTCATTGGTTAATAAAAAAAACTGCCTTGGCCTTTGATAGGACAGCAGCTTAGAAGGGCGGAGTAGACAGAACAGAATGCTGGGAAGAAGGGAAGTGAGACACTATAGCTCTCCTCTCCAAGATGGATACAGGTTAAGATCCTTCCTGGTAAGCCACCACCTCGTGGTGCTACACACATTATTAGAAATGGGTTAATCAAGATGTGAGAGTTAGCCAATAAGAGGCTAGAACTAATGGGCCAGGCAGTGTTTAAAAGAATACAATTTGTGTGTTGTTATTTTGGGTGTAAAGCTAGCCATGCAGGAGCTGGGCAGGAAGCGGCCCGCAGCTCCTACTACACTTATCCATTGCTCCTATTAATATATCAGTTGTAGAGTGATTGAATGTCAAAAACGAAGAGACTTACATGGGAGCCCATGTCATAGCTTTCTGATTTAGAGATGAGATGACAGAATGCCAGAGAAAGGAGGCAAATGGAAGTCACGCAGCAAGGACTGCAACCAGGGTCACAGGACAGGTGGCAACATATTAAAAGTGTAACAAAACAAATGGCACTAGACTTCAAGAGAGGAGAAATTGCCTTTTCTGAGATGCCCAGGGTAGGGAGTCAGGATGGCTCCTAAGGGTCCGTACTGCAGGAACTTCAGTTGTAAGAGTACCCCAGATGCAGTGCCGGGGAAGGTATGTGCTCTTCATAGACAAAGTAATCCACTGTGGCCAACTCACAGAACCATTATATGATCTCGCAGCAGATATTTAGTGTGCAGATTTTCCCCTGTAACATGATCAGGAGGCTATACTCTACACTCTTTTAGATTGCCCCATACTTCTTAATGATTTAGTATCATATATTGTAGAGGGGTTCACGTGCTCAACTGAGCAGCTTGAACTTGACTTGATGAGTACTGAATAGCTTTTTAACTTTTGAAAAGGAAAAAAAATGTAATTAGAGCATTGATTTAGAAATTTAATCTGCCAAGGGTGTGAGACACCCATACCAAATCAAGGCAGCCACTCAGAACAGCTTATGCCTTAGGGATCCCAGTCCTAAGAGACACTGAAGTGATTGGTAGGTTAATAACTGCGCACACAGCCAGCCAGCCAGTCACTAATACAACCGAGTTCATGTTCAATTCTGTTTTAATGTCTGTATCCTGGATTCCAGTTCTGAGTCCAGAGGAGCTAACATAGGAAGAACAAAGTTGAAGGTGGTGTTGCCCCATCATCCTTGTGGATACATGGTGCTATACATACCTCACAGGTCTGTTCAAAGGTACTAGGTGGTCTAAGAGTGAGTTTATCTGACTTGGGCATACATGGAAGTACCTGCCCCGATAGTCACCAGATTAAGTGGGAGCTTAGAGTACTTCCAGTAGCCGTCCTCTAAAAAGACTCGGATACGAAGGTGTGTGTGTGTGTGTGTGTGTGTGTGTGTGTATGTATGTATGTATCTGTGCACATGCACACTAGGTATATTCCTCAATTGCTATCCAATTTATTCTTTGAGACAGCCTCTCTCTCTAACTTTGACTCTCAACCACCAGCTAGAATGACTGGCCAGCAAGCCCCAGGGATGCTCTTGCCTCTACATCCTCAGTGCTGGGATGACAGGTGCACACACTGCACCCAGCCTCTTCTGTGTGAACCAAGGATCCAAACTCGGGTTCTCATGCGTGTGCAAGGAGCACGCTACTGAACTTTGTTACCAGAACAATGCAAAGATGTTTAAACTTGAGGATAGATGGTTGTGATTCTGGTGAAACCCTGGTTGTATATGCGTCTTCTCACCCTGCTGGGTTTTGATTATTTCAGCCCTTTGATGCTCCTTTTTTCTTTCCTTGACACTCGTCACATAAACTAGCCCCTCTCTTTTTTCCTTCTTGGTCACTTACCTTTGGACTGCTCGGCTCCTAAAGCCTCTCGCCTCTTGTGTGTATCACTCCCTTCCCTGAGCAGCACTTGCTCAGCCATTCTCAGTGTTGTGCAGAGTAATGGGCACCTTGGCACTGACATTGAGAAGGGAGAAGGATCGCCACTTTGTGCCTTATTTGTCTCTGCTAGGTAAGATGTTTTATCCAGATCCCCTTGCCAACCAACTTCCTGTGTGCTGTGCTGCTGCAGGAAACCTTAGAGCACTCATGTGTTCCCTTCCCAAAGAGCTACCTCATTGTACGTGTTTCTCCCTGGATCCTTGTTAAATGGGACAGCATGTGGCTCTCTGCTGAGGATCACGGCTCAGCTATGTCCTGCATTCATTCTCTTATCTTGGAATATGTTGTTTGTTGTTTTTACTATTTTGGCTCTTTGGACTCTTAGTTTTTGGGGGGTCCACCACACAGCTCCCAAATAAATCACACATGAGTCCTATTCTTTCTTATGAATTCCCAGTCTTTGCTTGGCTTGTTTCTTGTCAGCTTTTCTTAACTTAAATCATCCCAACTATCTGTGGCCTTGAGACTTTTATCTTTCTCTATTCCTGTATACTTTTTTCCCCCTGATTACTCTGTGTCTGACTGGGTGGCTGAGTGGCTGGCCCCTGAAGTCCTCTTTCCTCTCTCATTCCCAATTCCTTCTCTCCCAGATCTCTTATATGTATCCTCTTTGCCTGCCAGCTCTGCCTATTTCTCTCTCCTGCCTCGCTATTGGTCGTTTAGCTCTTTATTAAACCATCAGGTGTTTTAGACAGGCAAAGTAACACAGTTTCACAGAGTTTTACAAATGCAGCATAAACAAAAGTCACACACCTTAAATTAATATTCTACAACAGGGATAAGAGATGAATAAAACTCCAAAGTATTGGGTGTGGCTGCCCAATCTGGTTCTTGTTACACACAGAGAGCTCTGAGGGTGGCATCAGAAAGGGGGCATGACCCATGTGACCATTGCCAAGGTGTAAAGCCAGGTTATGTTCCCAGGCTTCTTAGGTTCTCATGCCTCTTATCAGTTCTCTAAGGACTTGGTAATAGAAGTAATGAGAACAGAGGTGACCCCTGATATCGTGTCCAAAGTCCTTTACAATGTAAAGCAAAAAATGGGGGAGGGGGATGAAAATGGAGGCTGGAGAGATGGCTCAGCAGCTAAGAGCACTTACTGCATTTGGTTCCAGTACCCACATGGTGACTCATAACCATCTGTAGCTCCAGTTACAAGGATCCTCTTCTGGCTTCCATGGACACCAGGAACACACATGGTATACATACATAAAAGCAGGCAGACATGCATAATAATAAATAAATAAATAAATAAATAAATAAATAAATAGATGGATGGATGGATGGATGGATGAAGGTGGGAAACAGCCACATTGGGGGCCTGTTTGGAGGGTTCCTCTTAATGAGAAGTTGCTGTGAGAGCAAGGAGATGAAATGGGCACTGATGAGAGCAATGATCGCCTAGAATGAAGGGGAATCTCAGAAGACGTGGAAAATTTTCCTTCTCCAAGTGCTAGCAAGGAATCTATGTTTTTATTACTTGGTTAGGTGGTTGATGTAAAGACATCTATGTTCAACTTCATCTTCTCTGCATCTGCTTTCCATCCAGAACCCCTTGGGTCCCTTTTTGATTGTCCATGATTATGAGCTGAGACCTCTTTGCATGGCATGCCTTGTGGGCCCAATCTCTTTAGCCCCACCCTGTCCTTCACATGATTTTTTTCAAGCACTTGCACCTCCAGCCAGGCTCTTCTCTCTTTCCCATTCCTCTCAAGCTGGATAGGGTCCTTTACATTGTCACACCATTGACCAGTTCCTGTGCTTTGGCCCTGACCTGGACACAGCTGGCAGTTTTACACACATGCTGATAGCTTCAATAACTAGCAAGGCCAGTATCCTGACATGGAGGTGTCTCAGTTATTCTGCACCCACTCTGCCTGGGAGACCATAGGACCTGACACTGGGAGTCCTGAGTCCTTAAAGTATGCCTTCATTAGGTTAGATCCACTGGGCCCTAAGCTGCTTTTAGTTCACTAGCAGATACTGAGCACATATGTGGTACCAGGCACTGTTATCAGAGTGGAGAGTTGGGAGTTGAGTGCCAGCCTTCCTTGTGGTTTTATGAACCGAGGGGATAATGGCCGAGTTCACCATCATAAGCAATTTCTTGCCCTAATCGCTGTACCAAATGCTTGTCATTCCTCTCTGCTTTGAATGCTTGTGTTCCTTGGGGACACAAAAGCATGCACCTTTCATTTTTTGTCTGTCTTCCTGTTTTGTATTTTAAAAGAATAACTGTGGTTTTGCTTGTGATATGGGAGGGATCCTCTCTCTCTCTCTCTGACTTGAATTTACTCTCTAATCCCTTTTGTTGCAATCCTTGTATTTGATGAGAGATCAGACTGGTGGCATGCCCTTTGTGTCCTTCATCTGTATGAACAGAAATGTCCAAATCTATCCCACCATCACGCTAGGCTCAGTGCAAGAGAAGATTCTGGTTCTTAATAAAGAAAACTAGGGAATTGAGTGGCACAGGGTAGGAGGAACAAAGACGAAAGGGCACATGTGTAATTTCTTAAGATAAGAGGCACTGTATCCCTCGCTATAGGGTAAGCCGCTGGCCATGCCATCTTTTTCATGAGTGATGGAGAACTCATGCTGTTTGAAAGCCCTGCTCATTCCTGCTTTCTTCCTCCGATTTTCAGAGCTTGTATAAGCCTATGAGGGAGGGCAGACTTTACCCAGTTATCCACATTTGCCCCCGAGAGATGCCTCTTATCAGGTTCACCTCCATTGGAGTCCCTGGCAGCCAGCAGCACCTTTCCATGGCCAGTGACTGACCAGAGCTCTTTCCCTTCCAGAGATGAAAAGAACCAATCCATCATAGTCAGCGGAGAGTCTGGAGCAGGGAAGACGGTGTCAGCCAAGTATGCCATGCGCTATTTTGCCACAGTTGGTGGCTCAGCCAGTGATACCAACATTGAAGAGAAGGTCCTGGCATCCAGTCCCATCATGGAGGTAAAGCCTTCCCAGGGAATCACTGGGGGTTAAATGTGGTGTGAATGATGAAGAGCATCTTTGACACAGCTGATCTAGGCAGCGTTCACACCCCTCCTATGTCAGGCAGAGCAGAGTGTGCCTCTGAATCCAGTCTGAAGAGCATCTGACCTGGTCACATCCTACAACCCCAGTGTAGGTGGAGTGTCTTCATGCTCTCTGTCCCTGAACTTTGTGTGTGCTGTAGTAATGGTGATTGCCTGCCTGCTGCCACCTCTGCTGTCCTCCCCTTCTTGATGCCAACACAGGTTAGAAAATTAGTATCTCACCAGAACCAGTAGATACTTTGAAAGACTCTGCGTTAGGAGGCAGTTCTCAGAGAGTGAGGCAGACTAGGTAGAAACAGGGAAACTTTGTCTGTGCTGAGAAGGGTGAAGGGGAGCCAGAGCAGATGTGATACTGTCACTGCTGTTGAAACAGTTTCCTGTGATACACAAAGTAGCCAAGAAGGCACACGCTGTCTGAGTCCTGTCCTTGGCAGGACATATGACAGGAGCCTGGTTTGGGTGGGTTTAGAGAACTTAGTTAAGTTCAGGCCAAAGTTGTTTCTAAAAATTAGGTCTCGCTATAGCTCATAATGGTTTAGAGTCCCTCTCTCTCTCTTTCCCTTTCTCCCTCCTTCCATTCTCTGTGTCTCTCCATCTCTGTCTTTCTCCTCTTTAAACGATATATTCTGATAGAGAATGTCTTCATAGCCTAGGTAACTTGGGACGCTCCACTGTTCTAGTTTCTTTAGCTGGCCAGGAGCAGATAAGGAAGGAAGGTAGGGCTTATTCTATATTACATGGGAAGCAAGACACTGTGTTACTAAGTAAGACAAAAAGGGCATTTACAAAAATTTTTATTGTGTAAAATATCCATGGCAGCAATACACCACTTTAAGTGTATGAATCAGAGGCATTAAATGCATTCATTGTTTGTGTATCCATCACTACCACCCATTCTAGAACTTTCCTATTACCCCAGTAGAAACCTTGCTCCCATTAAACAATTATTTTTCCCTCCCCCAAGTTCTTGCCAAACTGTTTTCAACCTCGTTGACTCTTGCTGCTGTGGGAACTTCAAATGAGTGGCATCGTATAATACTGCTCCCTGTGTATCTGGTTAGCTTGACTTGGCATGATGCTTTCAAGGTTCATCCATACCTATCAATTCTCTGTTCTCTTTATGGTTGGCTGTCTCATTACACAATGCGCCATAGTTTGTTCGGCCATTCCTCCCCTGCTGGGTATGCGGGTATTTCTACCTTTTGGCTATTATTGAATGCTCCTCCTATGGATATTAATATGAAAGTTGTCAAATTAAGTCCTGGCCCAGGGAATTATAGCAGTTACTAATAATTTAAAGTATGCACTGTCTGCTACAGCCCAAGCAGGCTTCTGAGTTCTGTGAGAAGGTTGCTTTGTCATGGAAGAAACGTAAGAACAACATGCATCTCCAAAGAGGACCAGGGTGTAGTTAATCTCTAGAATCTGAATGAGGAGTGAGAACATGAACCGTCCTAATCACAATAGTGTATATAAGTGAGTACATCCCATGTTCCTCTTTTTGGATCTGACTTACCTCACTCAGGATAGTGTTTTCTATTTCCATCCATTTGTATGCAAAATTTAAGAAGTCCTTGTTTTTTTACTGCTGAGTAATACTCTAATATGTATATATTCCATACTTTCTTCATCCATTCTTCCATTGAAGGGCATCTAGGGCGTTGGGCTGTCTTTGGACTTCCCACAGGTCAGGGAACCCTGATTGCTCTTCGAGCTGATGAGGGAGGGGGACTTGATCGGGGGAGGGGGAGGGAAATGGGAGGCAGTGGTGGGGAGGAGGCAGAAATCCTTAATAAATAAATAAATTTAAAAAAAAATAGTGTATATAAGTGCAGTTGTTTGGGCCCCAGACATTAACGCTCTGCCTCGTGCAACTAGCTGCTTCGGAAACCATCCGCTTAAGTGCCCAGGGCTCCTTCTATCAATTGTGAACTGTTAGTGCTATCTTTAGGGGAAGCTTGACTTTGCTTGTGAAAAGGAAGCAGCAGAACCAGGAGGGATCCTGACTAGGATTAGAATGTTGCCAACAGAAAGTGAGGAACTTTTTGCCTGCCAAAGTCGAGAGCGCAACTTTTCAAATGTTCCAGGTTTAGTCAAGAAGTCATCAGCTTGTGGCCCCTCAGAGAGGTCTAGGGAACAGAGTCTGAACTGGGAGCAGTGATTACCGATAATTCTGCCCAGTCCCTGGGAAGAGTTCTCCGGCTCGCCCCCAAGCCATCAGTTACTGTCTCCTCGCTCTCAGGGCAGATACCTCCCAGGGAGACTGGGAGCTGAGCACAGTCTGAGGATGCAGAAGGACCAGTAGGCTGAGCTGAGTGGCAGCTGTTTAATTATGGAGATGGAGGCTGGGCTGGGATTGACCGGGGCAGATTGCTGTGATTCCTTCGCAATGCTAGCATGCCCTGACCCCATTTTTCTTAAGAGCTTATGAGCATCCTAGGAGGGATACGTCCCCGTCCCCAAGTCTGCACTGATTAGGAGAGCCAAACTAATCAAGAGACCAGGGCTAGGGGACCCTATGACAGCTTAGGAATCATGAAACCAGACATACAACTGTGAGAGCCAGAGACATTTCCCCTACAGAAAGGAGATAAGTTAGAGGTACAGTGAACAAAACTGACCAAAGGTGTGAGTTTTAGGATTTTCATCTTTGCTATTGATTTAAAACTAGCTGCAGCTGTTTAGCCTGCATATAAGATTCATATACGCTTCTGCTTCCTACATGACCTACATCCTGTGTTCTCTTATGTGGTCTAACATTCCAGCCAACGTTGTCTCTTCTGAGACCCTCTTGTCCTTTTGTCCACACTGTTTTTCTCCATCGATAAGATTCCGTTCTCTATAAGATTCACTGCAATTTGCTTTTTTCCAGCCTTTTTCGTTCTGCTGGCATGACTACTTGCTCCCCCTTCCTCTCTCTGTTCTTGCCCACAAGTTAATGGTGACGTCTCCGTTATGTAAGCCAACATTAAAAGTATTCATTGTATTCTTGCATATTACTATACAATTATACAGGAAGGTCTAGTTGAATTTCACATTCCTGTATGCATAAACAGCAAAGAACATGCAGTGGTGTTTGTTTGTTTGTGTGTGTGAACCATGGTACAATTCTGTAGCTCTGGCTGGCCTAGAACTTAATATGTAGACCAGGCTGGCCTTGAACTCACAGAGTTTCTTCTGCCTGGAGAAGCGGAGAGCACCCACTTGGGAGTTTGGGTAGAGTTTTGGTTCCTTGTGGTTTTAGTGTGATTTATTTCTGAAAGGCACCTTCCTCTCCTATTTCTTGAGAGGGTAGAAATGAGGATCAATACTTCTGCCTGCCACCCTCTACAGTCCTCCGCTCTGCCAGCTGAGCTAAGAAGGGTTTCCTTGGAGGATTGGTATCACTGTCTATGTTCACTTCTGATTTGGCTCGGTCCTTAGAGCTGTGGAACTTGCCCCCTTGTCTGCAGCTTCTTGTCTGGTGTGTGTGGGGACCTGTGAGGCAGATGAAGGACTGTGATTCCCTATAACCTGGGTTGAGACTTGAGAACCCAGGTGTATCTGAATTTGAATCTTGCCTGCTTCCTAGCCATGTGACCTTGGCAAATTATTTGCCCTTCCCAAGCCTGTTTCCCTGTATGTACAACAAGAAGAGATGGCTGCCTCTGAGAGCTCCTGTCCTGATGAACTGACACAATAAGCAGCCCCGCCCAGGGCTTCACGTCAGAGACCCAAGGATGTCTAACTTTTGCAAATATTCTGGAGAGGACAGCCGGCTTTTCTATCTTCAAAACAGAACTGTCTCACTGAAGTGTGACCGTCTGCCATTGTGTCCTGGAGCTCAAGAATCAGGCATTTGTGCTGGGGAATGAGAAGCCCACCAGGGTACTTGTGCACCCCTCTTTTCCTGGAGGGGAGGGCAGAGTGTGTGCAGGGACCAGAAAAATGGGAACTCCTCTGACTTGTGGAACTAGGGAAGGGCTGCCTGTTTGCTTTCAGGTCTGGATTTGAACAGGAACGGCTGGTAGGTTGGAAGGCTATGGAAAGAGAATCCCCGAAAAGGGAACAGTGCAGCCGAACCTTGTGTGAGTATGGAGAATCACAGGGCTATGGAAGAATAAAGAAGTGTTCTGTTTCCTTAGGTCTGAGGACTGAGTATAGAGTAATGAATGGCAAGACTAGGTGGGCTGCTACCAGGATGTGAGCCTTGCTGAGGTTCTAAAACTAAAGGGTAGTGGAAGCCACTGAAGCATCCTATGCCAAGAATATAATCAGGTTCACACTTTACACAGGCTGCTCTGTTAGTCAAGAGGAATATTGACTGAAAGTCACAAGACCAGGAATAGAAAACATATAGAGAGGTAGTTAACATTATCTAGGACAGAGGCAGTGGTGATGTGTGTCAGGTCCATGCGGTAAGAACACTTGTGGAATGGTACTTGGCAGACCAGTGCTGGCAGAACCACTCACCCAGCAGAGAGCATGGATGCGGGCTTCACTTCGCTCACCTCCAGACCGAGAACAGTGACAGGTGTCTGCATGAAGTGCGAGTGTGTAAGAAGTTAGCTGGTGAAGCAGTAGAGATGGGCTTCAGCTCCATCCTTCATCTCAGAGGACACTGGGGCTTTGAAAGGAGCAGATATAAGTAGTTGGACTTGGCTAGCCTGGACTACGGCGTGGGTTCGGATCTTCCCTTCAGCATCTGGGCACGTCATGTTTTCTAGGCCACTAAAAAGTTGCAGTGGGATTTTCTACCTTTTTCACCACCTGAAAATGTGAAGAATCAGAAGAGATTAAAATAAGAAAAGTCGATTTTTGGCGTGTTCATATCGTGACTTATAGAAAGTGAAGAATCATATTAGACCAGTTATTTAGTGGCTGACTTTAAAGAGTATTATGGGCTGGGTGTGATGACACACATCTTTAATTCCAGAACTCAGGAAGATTGTTATAAGTTAGTGGCCAGACTGTTTCCATAGCAAATTCCAGGCCAGTTGGGGCTTCATAGAGACCTTGTCCCCCCAAAAAAGATTATTGCATAGTATTCAATCTGTGGCCCTGCTTTGTAGGAAATGATCCTTAGGGTGGGTGACTTCCTGGTCTACCTTAATAAAGAGTGGGGTAGGCATGTCATTTGATGGCCTTTCACCAGTGGGGCAAAGCATTTGGCTGCTTGATTGCATAAGGGATCACAGTAGATTAAACACAGCAGAACTATGGTCCCAAGCACCGATTTGATGGCTGTACAACATCAGAACCAGGGGCTCTGGTTCTCTAGGCCTTGGCTTTGTGGGCCCAGGGTAACTGGTAAGATTGTCACATGTGTATTCTAGATAGGAAAAAAAAAAAAGAGGAGCAGAGGAATGGTGGGTTAGAGTCTCTCTGACCTGGCTGTGTCTCTAGAAAGTCTTCGGCTGAACACACAGCTCTGGCCGGTGGCCACTGATTGTACAAGGGGCTGAGAAGTGACATGGGTTTTGGCTTAGTTTTAAACAAACCAAGCAGCGTTTCTCACTCAGCCCATTGTCTTTACAGTTGCAGAGGTGTGTGTGTGTATGAATACCATGCTGCCACAGGCCTACAGTCGTGAAGTCAAGAAGCCCAGTGGGGGTGGGGTGATAGTAGGAGAGGCACCTATGTGCTTTACTGACTAAGCCATCTTCCCAGCCTCCCCTCATTTATACACATTTCTATTGTCTGTTAATCCAGGCTATCGGGAATGCCAAGACCACTCGCAACGACAATAGCAGCCGCTTTGGGAAGTTCATTGAGATTGGCTTTGATAAAAAATACCACATCATCGGGGCCAACATGAGGACCTACTTGCTGGAGAAGTCTCGGGTGGTCTTTCAGGTGAGTGGCAGGACTCAGTCATTTGTATTTTGCTACCAGTATTGTTCCGCCCACTCCCTGTGTCCACAGAGCAGCTTGTCTTGTAGCCTGCAATCAATGTTCTTGTTTTCATTCTTCTCTTTCAGAGTAAACATTCGTTTAGACTAAGCATTAGGTCTCTGCAAATGCTTTGCACAGCTTTGCCTGTTGTGTGTTAAGCAAGTGCTCGATCCTGGGATAAAGGACAGGACGGTCCTCCCTAGGCTTTTACACAGCGGTCCTCCCGAGGCTTTTACAGCCTTCCCGTTAGAGAATGTGATGCACAGAGCCTGGGTTGCAGCTTTCAAAGAACCTGCTTGTTGGGTGGGTCAAAATACAGGTGTGGCTAGAAAGATAGGTATACGTGCTGACATCACACACATACACACAGACACACACACACACACACACACACACACACACAGTGTTCTTTCCTAGGAAGCAGTCCTCATTTCTTCCCCTCCATAGCCCTTGATTGTTCCCTGCTGACCCTCCTTGGCCTCTGCCAGAACCCTTTCTCCCTGTTTCTGGAGACCTCCCTGCTACTAGCAGCTCCATCCACCATTCTCCTGCAGCAGCCCCATCCTTCCACCTCTGGACTGAGATGGCAGAGGTGACCTGATTCAAGTCTGTATCTTGCATTCCTTATGCACAGTGACTTCCCAGTCCCCAGAGTTCAACTTTCCCCAGAATCCCCCAGAGTCTTCTGAGCTATATCTTAGTGATGACTCCCTGCTAATGGGTAACAAATATTGCATGAACCTTTAGGCCATCCTCGCCTTCCCTCACAGGTTGGTTGGGCAGTCCTGCATCCTTCCTTCAGTGCAGCAGAGATAGCAGGCATCTCTATTGGGTGGACCGACAAGCTACCTGTACTTTACCCTGGCTTTGAGATTTCCTCTTCCATGGCTGTCTCTATCCAGGGCTCCTAAATATTTACACACCATCTCCCCCTCCACCCTACTGATTTAAGGCTATTCTAGTCATGTGTGTACAGTGAAAGTCATCAGAGATTCCTGACTGACCAGCCCCAAAGTGTAGGCAAGCTTGGCTTTAACTTAGTCCTAAGCCCTGGAGGAGCTTCCAACAGGGTAGCAAAGGGCTTAGAGTTGTGGTCAAGCAGCACACAGATGGTAGTTTTTGCTGGCTGACCCGCCATTTGTGACATGGCACTGGTGTTTAATGTAGGGGAGAAAAAAGGAAATGCCTGCTTCCATGTAAGCCAAGAGGTATAAGTCCTCACATAAGAAGGCCCTGTCGTAGCAAATAGAAAATAAGGCAGTTGAAACTGCAGGTGGCCAAGGTGTGGAAGAAAACCCTGAGGGAGGGTGGTCTAAGTCACACCACCTGGGGTCAGAGTGGCCAAGGAGGTGATTCAGGGAATCGCTGACTAAAATGGATCTCCTTTTCTCCCCCAGGCAGAAGATGAGAGGAACTACCACATCTTTTACCAGCTCTGTGCTGCTGCCAGCCTTCCTGAATTTAAAGAACTTGCTCTAAGTACGTCAGCAGGTACCCAGGGTCCTCTGCAAAGGCAAAGCTATGGCAGGCAGCTAGGAGCTCTGTCTAGAACTCTGGCTTATGGGTTCTTGTCTCAGTTCTGCCCCTACTGTGGTCCTGTCCTTTAGCCCAATCAGAACCTCACTGTCAGTTACTAAAGCAGGGTTCACTATACCTAGGCTACCTGCAAGGGTTGAGCTAAGGGGTGGGAAGTGTGTTTTGCAGAGCAGTGCAGTTGTCCCCTACTTTAAGAGGCATGTTATGAGACTGATGGTTTAGTCGGGTGCTGTTGCACAAGCATGGGGACCTGCATTTGGATCCCCAGAAAAGTTGTGTGTGAATCCATTTCAGTAACCCTAGTCCTGGGGAATGGAGAAGTGAATTCCTGAAGTTCTGTGGCCAACCAGTCTGCCTAGCTGGAATAGATGGGCACAGGCTCAGTAAGAAGCTCTGTGTGAAACAACGCGGGGGAGAAGTGAGCAAGGAAGGCACCTAGTGTGACCAGTGACCTCCATGGATACACACAGACCCACACAAGCACGTACATATACAATATTCATGCACAGATTTTTTTTATTAAAAGAAAAAAGTGTGTCTTCTTTCTGTACCTTGAAAAATGGGTCTCTTTCAGACAGTCTAGAGATTTGCATAATACTCTTTGCTGTGGGATAATGCTTTTGTACACTGTAAAGATTTGTCACTCATATTTGTTTAATAAAATGCTGATTGGCCAGTAGCCAGGCACGACGTATAGGTTGGTAGTATAGACTAGGAGAATTCTGGGAAGAGGAAAGGCAGAGATGCAGTCACCAGCCAGATGCAGAGGAAGCAAGATGAGAATGCTGCACTAAGATACCAATCCATGTGGCTGAACATAGACAGGAACTGTGGGTTAATTTAAGTTGCAAGAGCTAGTTAATAATAAGCCTGAGCTAATAGGCCAAACCATTTATAATTAATATATGCCTCTGTATGTTTTGTTGGGACTGAGCCACTGTAAGACCCAGAAGGACAGAAACTTGTGTCTGCAACTGATCACTTTCCCTTTACCACCATGTGTTGAGTCATATTTTAGGGCTGAGACAAAAAGGATAGGAACAGTGCTGGCCTTGGTGGTAAAGGCTGCAAAGTACACATATGAAGGATAAGTCGCAGTTAAGACAAGGGAGATTCAGTACTGCAAAACTGTGGATCCCTTCTGAACAGCCATGGAAACTTCTAGCATGTCCATGGTGGAGTACTAACTGGAAGGAAGAGAAACAGCCAAGTGCCTCACAGTCACCATAGTCAACACAGTGGCTCATTTGTCCCTGTCAAGTAAGTGGGCCCATCCTTTGTTTTCCCCATGAATGCATTAGTAGATCCCCCTTGTTTTAAGCATTGATATGAGATTGATTTGAGATGGAGTAGTGAGCAGGTTTTTATTCCTGACTGTGTTTCAGTGAGCATCTCTCCTTGGGCTGGAGCTCCTTCCTCCTCTCTCTGGGACTGGATGGAGTCTTGGTTCTGAGACCTCAGACCCTGAATGGTGAGGGGCCAGCCTGGAGCTGAGCAGCATCCTGTCATTGCCCTATTATCTGTATTTGGGTCTATGTATGGAGAGCTTTGGCTCAAAAATGATGTCAGAGCTGGTTTGTCTAGACAAAGGCTGGTTGATCTTTGCAGCTCTGAGAAAAGCAGATTGTTGAGGTTATGTCCCCAAATCTTAGCTATCCTGAAGATCCAGCACCAGTCCCAGCTGTGTCCTCAGTAGCTAAAATCTATCAAGTAGTATCATAGTCACTGATCTATTAATGTAAAGAGATACAATGACAACAGCAACTCTTATAAAAGAAAGCATTAAACTGGGGGCTTGTTCAGGTTCAGAGGTTTAGTCCATTATCATCATGGTGAGGAGCATTGTGGCATGCAGACACTGGAGCAATAGCTGAGTATCATCCCGATCTGCAGGCAGAGAGACTCTGGGCTTAGCATGAACTTTTGAAACCTCACAAGCCCACCCCAAGTGACACACCTAATCCTTTTAATCATTTCAAATAATGCCACTCCCTGGTGACTAAGCATTCAAATATATGCTCCCTTAAAATATATATATATATATATATATATATATATATATATATATATATACACACACACAATTCTTTTTCAAACACTAAGTGGTTGCAGGGTTTGCTTGCTTCCTGATAAGTTCCTATGGTGATCTTTGTATGTTTCACATAACTTGATTCATTCTTCAGCTCAGGCCATGTTGGCACAATATTGAATGACACAGCTGCAGGTTCTACTGTAGTGTAGCCTGTCAATTACAGGATTGGAATGGTAAGCACTATGTTGCAGGAAGCATAGTCTCGGGCTAATGTGTCCCCTATAAAAAGTCATAGTTTACTTGGAGCCCAGAAAGGACACGTTGGATGGTACCCGCTGTGCTGGCCTATCCTGTTGTGCAGTTGCTGGCAAGGCTGGTCCTTCCAGGGTTACCATCACTTCCAAGGACAAGTAATGCATGCTCCCAGACAGTGCGAGTTCTCAGTGGCCCTTGTTTGAGCACTGGCCTGACCTGGGGCCTTTTGGGTTAGATGCCAGCTCTTAGTCACAAGTGGTCAGATAAGCAGCTACAATAGGACCACTGTCATTGTCCTCTTGTCTTCCCAGAATAGTGGGGGAGTTTCATGGCCAACCCGCAGAAGCTATTTTTCTCTAAGGTTGGTTTTATGGAGAATCAAATAGTGACAAAATCCATCTGACTGGTCACTTTGTCCTGAATGGAACTTTAATAGGGAAGTTGCCTAACTTTTTCATTTATGTGAGTTGTATTGAGGTTTAAAATGACTTTTCCTTATTTTCTGTCTGTGAAAGGTACAGACTCCCTGGGCTTCTGCCAGGATCCCTGAGAATTACCCAATTCAATCAATTTCTAGCATCTTGGAGTAAAATGACGAGCCTATGATAAGCCTGTAACCTTGTGGGTGGATTGGCTATGAGCCTTTAAACTGGGTTATTGGTTTCACCGATAACCCCAATAAATAGCTGGGAAAGTCAAGTAAACGGGCTAGCCAGAAGTTCCAGGAGATTCTCTAGACACCATGATCCTTCTCTTGTTCTTAACATAAACCACATTATACAGAAACCTCTGGCAGCCTGGCATGAACTTGCTCATCTGTCTGGAGGTGGACGACATGGATTTGTGACTTGTCACTCATATTCTACTACCCCATTGTTGTTCTTTATGGTTAAAATGACCTTGGGAAGATTAGAGCAAAGTCTAGTGGAAATTTCCTTGGGGAACAGTGATGGTAAAGTTCCCATCTTCATTAAATCTGTTGCGTTAAGGAAGTCCCTCTTCCTTTTAACTCTCATGAGGGTGTTGGCACACTTTTATCACGGTCTCCATAGACTCACACAGGTCAGAATACAGCCTTCCCAGGTGAGGTCCAAGCTTTGTGACATTGGCCTTGATGTTTGGTGCTCCCATCATAGATCGATGGCTTCTTTGTGCTCTGTTGACTGCCTGGGCCAGTGTCTGTCTGATGAACCAGTTACTAGGCATTTTAGTGTTTATTGATCCTTGTAAATTCTTAGGAGAGAGGAAGTGGGGCAAGGGGGAGAGAGAGATAGATGGTAACTGGATGGTAAAAGAAGGTGTTGTGGGTGGGAAAGAAGGATGGTGCTGGCTTCATGGACCTGAAGGGAAGACAGTTGAGCTGCAGCCCGCCAGACAGGGAGGGAGGTAGTGGTCATAGCCTGCTTTCATGTCTCTTACTAAGGGGTCCTGTTGTGTAAGGACAGCTAGTGACTGCAGGCAGGAGGAAGCAGAGAAAGAGACGACCTTGTTGATGGCAGTTAGACCCTTCAACAGACAGTGTCACCTCAGCCTAGGAAACAACCCATCTGAACCTGAGTTTGGAAGTGCAGAGTCGGAAAGGTGGGGGTGATCTGCCAGACACAGAACAGCAGGCAGCAGACCCTCGCTCTCGACAGTGACGGATCTTTTGAAGATGCTCAAAATACCTTCCCTCCATTGCGGAAGCCAGATGTCCTCCTGTGGAGTCTCTAGTGACTCTGCTGTTTTGGCTGACATTCGGTAATGAGTTTAAAAAAAAAAAAAGTCGTGGGACACTAAAGATCCATCATCTCTCAGTGGAATGCCACAGTAGTGGCTCTCCATCCTGGTCATCCCCTGGTAAGCCTGTGCAGCCCCGTAGCACGCCGTAGTCACGCTCATTGACGTGCTGGAAAGTGGGAGCAAGAACAGTGAGTCGTCTTCAGGTGGCACTGGGAAAGCTGCCAGATAAGCTATTTTGAAAAGTGAGTCTAAGAGGAGGAATTGCTTTATTAGCCTTTTGGATCTATTCTTGCTCAGAACCCTGAGCTTGTGGAGTAATTAGCTACCAAAGTGCTAAATATGTTTTGCAAGCAAGTCATAAAATTTTTGTTGGGGCTCAGAGTGGGTAAAGGGCTGAAGTCCTTTCTCTTTCAGTTCAAGCACCTTGGCCTCCATTCATCTAAGTGTGAAAAGTCCTTCCTCCAGAAACCTCTCTCAGCACACAGCAGATGTTCTATTACTCTTCAGGTGCTTGTCTAGCCTCCTAGAGTGGTGGTGGTGTAGTCAACCTGAGCGTCATTTTCCATTGTGGATAGGGTATTCTAAAGGAGTATACATCCATCTAACACCAAAAATCAGTGTGACTAGCATGTCCAGGGTAGACCTCCTCATAGGTGGTGGTCTGGAGGTAATGGGGAATGAAGACCTCTCTAGAGTCTCCCTTCTTCCTGCCTCCCACAGCCTGTGCAGAGGACTTTCTCTATACATCCCACGGAGGAAGCACGACCATCGAGGGTGTCGATGACGCAGAGGACTTTGAGAAGACACGGCAAGCCCTCACACTCCTTGGTAAGGAACTGCTGAATGAGAGTAGCCTGCACAGGGTCTGATCCCGTGGAGGGGAGGAACTGAGGAGCAGTCTCACGGCCTTACCTACTAAGTCGTCTGAACCTTGATAGATGTCTTCTTCTGCTCTTATCTCTCTCTGTCCTCAGGCTCCAATGTTTAGAATTTGGAAGCTTTCTTCGAAAGAATCTTTTGAGCCAGGTACTGCAAAGTGTCCTGCTCCTTACTTGGGTGTTGAAAGCGATGGAAAGAAGCCCAGTGTAGCCGTGTCTTTGTGTGCTGTGGTCTGAGTTCAGAGGCAATGCGTGCCCCCAGAAAGACCCTCCCTCCTGCGTACTAGCCAGAGCATCTGACCAGAAGCAGACCCCTGTGTCCACAAGCCATGTGGCTGTGTGATATTGCTGGTGTGCTAGCCATATGTGTTGTAATCCTCGAAGCAGGAAGTTTTCTGTGACCCTCAATAGCAGACGGGCTTGGTAGAAATGGGAAGAACTGTTCCTATACCAGCCTGTTTTAGGGAAGAAGCACTCCCAGGTTCGTAAGATGAAAAGCAATTCTTTCCTAATTGGGAAGTTAAAATAGTCAATCCTAGGACCCGTAGCCAGGCAAAGGGAAGCTCAAGGAGCCTGAAACTCAGAAAGTGACTCAGCTGGCCACAGAGTCTTCCACGGCCCTTCTCTGACAGAGAGAAAGCTTTTGGCTTCTCTGTCAGGTTACTCAGAACAACATCTGTTCAGTTCTGTGGTAGAAGCCAAGTTTGGTCAGTGTTCAAATTAAATGTGAGCAAACTGGACACACTCCACTCTCTATGGGGAGGAGATGAAGGGCTAGTGTACTGGTCCCAGTGTGGTCATTTCTCTGGGTAGCCGAGACATGGGTAGCATTCATCTTTTGTACCTTTGGAGTATCAGGAGACAGAAAGCACTCTGGTTAGTCCAGAATGTAAACAGCATCATTACACCCAGAGCAATAGTGAGTGAGGAACTGTGGACAGGGCTGAAGTGGGCTTTGAGGACAGAAGTCATAAAGACAGAGGAAGTGCTTTTACTTCCTATGGCTAGTATAAGGGACCAAACATTTCAGGGACTGTTGAGTAGAGGAACCAGAGTTGTGGATAAACTTTAGACCCATCTAGGAAGAGGGAGAAGTGTGTCCAAGGCAAAGGACCAGCATCCTTAACAAGTAGGCTGTGTTTGACCTGAGTGCAGTGGATTCCTAGGTGCAATGGAGCTCAACAGGGAGGTTGTTAGACTCTCAAGTAAATGATGACAAGTAGGAGGGACCAGACCCAAGATGAGGACAACATTCTGCTGCCTTTGCATCACTGAGGTGTCCTTGATTCAGAACCCTGATGCTCTGCCAGTCAGCACCAAGCAGTTCACGGAGGGGAGGACGTAGAGAATGTCTTGATATCTGCACCTCTGGCTTCCCCCAGCATCACACACCATATGTCTCTGAAGAAAATTGACTTCCCCTCTCTTCACAGCTATTGGTTGCCTGTAACCCTCCCTTAGCCATCATTGGTTACCTGAAACCTTCACTTTGCAGCCATTGGTTGCCTGTAACCCTCTATTCACAGCCATTGGTTACCTGTAACCCTCTCTTTGCAGCCATTGGTTACCTGTAATTCTCCCTTAAGAACCATTGGTTGCCTGTAACCCTCTCTTGCAGCTATTGGTTGCCTGTAACCCTTACTTAGGAACCATTGGTTGCTTGTAACCCTCTCTTCACGACCATTGGTTGCCCATAACCCTCTCTTACCAGTCATTGATTGCCTGTAACCTTTCATCTAAGCGTGGGACCTTGTGAAAGTTTCCCCACCCACGTTGGCATGTCAAGTCTGTGGTCACTGCAGGTCTAGTCTAGGCAACCACATTGTTGAGACTCATGGGTGCAGCTTCCCTGTCCTGTCTAAAAGACACAGTCTAACAGAAGGCACCCTGATTCTGTGGCCATCGCAATCTTTCCATTTCGTTTTTATCATTTTCCCTCAGCCTTGGGTATGGAGTTGCTCTGTAGTGTTGGGTCAATTACCATTTATTGTCCCTTATCATGGGATGTTTAGGTTTTTGCTTGTTCAGAGGACCCCCGTGATAAGAAAGGGCTTCCTTGCTGGGCGGTAGTGGTGCACACCTTTAATCTCATCACTCAGGAGGCAGAGGCAGGCAGATCTTTGTGAGTTCGAGACCAGTCTGGTCTACAAGAGCTAGTTCCAGGACAGGCTCCAAAACTACAGAGAAACTCTGTCTCAAAAAGACAAAAAAGAAAAAGAAGAAAGAAAGAAAGAAAAAAAGAAAGGAAGGAAGGAAGGAAGGAAGAAAGAAAGAAAGAAAGAAAGAAAGAAAAGGGCTTCCTTGTTGGTAACTGTTTGGTCTGTCCACTTTGTGGATTATCTGGGCAAAGTTTTAACCCTAGTAAGATCAGTCTTTGCCTCCCATTGGACAGGTGCACTGGCTGCCATAGCTGGAGTAAAGCTCTGCCTTAGTAATAGCAGGAACGTGAGGAACAGCTGCCGTTTCTTCAGTAGAAAGCAACTTGATTAACATTCATCGTACCGTTCTGACAACTTTTTTTTAATAAGTTTGAAATATTTTGAAATTTAAAAAGAACTAATACCTTGATACTAAATCTAAATTTTAAGAGATATGCCTTTGGTAATTGATGTAGGCAAATAACAAATTTGACGATTAAGTTTGTTGCCGCAGTGTTTCTAGGCTGTGAGTGTTTCTGTCACTGATGGGGCATGCATCACAAGGCAGACAGCCACCTTCAGCTAGCACTGCCCATAAGCCAGCTGGCTGGTCAGTCCCTGGAACAGTATTCCCAGGGGTGTGATGGAGGGGTCTCTTTTTCTTCCCCTGTTGGCCCTGTGGTTGTGTCACAGATGTTTGCAGGATATTAAGTTAGGAGAAAAACAACTGCAGATAGATGGCCATCCTTATTAAACTCATTAAAGCATCCATAAAGTGTCTGGTGAAATGAAGTCCAAAATGAGTCAGTCCTACTGCTGCCTCTCCGTGCTCCTGAATACGCTAAATGGTAAGGTGCCCCATCTGCTGTGATCCAGACGGTCAGAGTGAGGCTGTTTGCCTCTCAGTGGGAGCCCCTTTGCCCTCTGAGATGATCCGGTGAGTGGTAATTACTTGGCCTGGCTGGTTTTAGGAGTCATTAACCCAGGAGAGAAAAATCAAACAATTTTTCAAGTCCTGAAAAGGGTAAAAAATCCTTTCTATCAAGGGACAGAGATTGGATGTCATTCATGCATTTTTTTTTCTCCTTCAGGAGTGCGTGATTCCCATCAAATAAGCATCTTTAAGATAATTGCTTCCATCTTGCATCTTGGAAGTGTGGAAATTCAGTCAGAGCGTGATGGGGATTCCTGCAGCATACCAGTAAGTGGCACCAGAGGTAAAATGTGCAGTAAGCTCGGATCCTCCAGCCTGACACCATGGGCATTTGCTTCTGTGCTTAGAGGGCACCCCTTGGTTATTTATTCTGAGCAATAATGACGTCTATTTTCTCACTGATAAAGTTTTAAGAACCAATCCATTTCAAATCAGCTGCCATCCAGTTTCTATCACTGTGGCATGGGGTTTAGTGGCTAGTCAATAAATTTGTTTGATGGGTTTATTTTCCAAATACTCTGAGGTACATAGAGTTCTACACAATGTCATCAATCTGTTGAGTACCTTGCGGGCTGCAGCCTGAGCTCTTCACAGCACAGAAACGGAGTACTGGACACCGTCGTTGTGGCTGCTTCTGAAGAGCAGGCATTCTTAACTGGATGGCCATGTTGGGATGGCGCGTGCTGACCTTTTCCCAGCCCGAGGCAGAATATTAAGCAAGGCATCTCAGTCAAAGGCCTACCAGCTATGACAGCTCCTTAAAGGCTCCAGATAAAGGTCCTTTCCCCTGAGCCTAGTGCCACAGTGAACTTGCAGTAGACAGGAATGTGTGTGTGTGTGTGGAATGGGGGATGCTGGCGGGAGTCCATGTGATGGGGTAGACAGCAGCTGCTGTGTCCTGTCTGCAAGTTAATACTGTTGGCCAGGGCTAAAACTGGCACTCTGACCTTGAATAAGTGCATCGGCCACATTCCCACATCAGTGCCTATTTGTGATTAGCCGAGAGGAAGTGTAAAGTGTGACTCTTGCTTCTCGGGGTGTGGGATTTAAATAACCAGACTCTAGGAAAAGTCCAAAGATGTCGCTACAAAATTCAGATGTAGGTGTGTGACCATGCCACAAGCTACAGCCGTTGCCCTTCCCACTTACGGAGACTGCTATTTGTGTGGCACTAGAGTTAGAAGCGGTTCAGAATATACCTGCCTCTAGGGAGGAAAAGACCTGAACTCTCTCAGGGTTCAATAGAGCTCCTCCCCAGCCTCACACGCTGTCCTTAAGCGAGAAATGTTGCTATGGGTGAGCTGGTGCTGGGCCGTCGCCCTCTCCACTCTGGACTCTGCAGCCTCGGTACCTCTGAGAAAGGGAGGATTTTGGAGCTTGCCACATCCCAGCGCAGTTTCTGACGTCCAACACCCACAAGCTGAGGTGCATGTGTGCACTGTGGGGCGCATAGAATCTGCAGTAAAGTAGAGATGGCACAGTAATGCCTGGATAGCCAGTGGGGAATTCCAAGGACCACAGCCTCTCTGGTGAATACAGGCCCAGACTGACCCTAGGAGTGAGTTTTTCAGGCTGGTGAAGAATTGGCCCTCTGGGGTCTTTGTCCTAGGGGGAAAAGCATGCAGTGTTTATGCCTCCCAAATGCACACCCCTTCCTGGCAAATGCCCTGTGTATCTTTAGGGCAACTGAATTCTATAAGAGACCAGGAAGATTGGGAAGACACACATTGACACATTCCTGGTTTAGGCTGGTGATATGCACTTTTGGTGTGTGTTTGTGTTGCTAGGGATCAAGTCTTGGGTTCCTCAGCATGAGCTCTCCACCTGAGCAACACGCTTGGCCTCCTTGCCATGGAGTCTCACAGCATGCGAAGCTTACCTGCTTCCCCTTGGCACTGTGTTCCTTGTGTGATTATTCACGATGTCTCTCTCTCCATCCTCTTCCCCCCACTCTTCCGGACTGATGAAGAGGATAAGTCTACTTGTTCTCAGTCACTTTTGCAGTGTACAGGGCCCAGGAGGCACTCCAAGATGGGGAACTGGGTGATTTCATTGAGGTGTATAGGCCACAATGGTGTAAAAATGAGAGCCAGTGTGATGAGACACTCAGCGGATGCAGGAGAGGAAGTGGGGCTCTGAGCACGTGTCCCGGAGGTGTGTCAGGGATGGTTTCTTCTTTGGAAAGTCCAGCCTTGGGCTTGTAGGTACAGTGTCTCTGATATTATGACAAGTCCTTCACTCATGGGTGTTCAGATGAGGGGACATCATTGATTGGTGCCTGGTCCCCAATACCACCACTGAACTGTAGGGCCATGTCTGCTGCATCACTTTCTGCTTGATACGTAGGGGCACCATGTGTTTGTGAGGTCTGTACGAAGATGGTACCATCAGTATACACTCTGAACTGAGTTGGTAAACTTAGGAGCACAGGTTGAAGGTCTAGACTGCGAGAGTGATGACAGCGCCAAAGCTGCCAGGGTTCAAATCCTGACCCTGCCATTTTGCAGGGATGTAACTTAGAGATGCCCCCTCACCTCCCTATACCTGCTTCCTCCTCGACACACTGTGGGTGGGGGAGAACGCAGCCCCATATGGAAGCCTTCACTCGGAGCTGATGGTGATCTTGATAAGTTCTGGATTCATGCCTTTCTGGTTGTTTGAGCCAAAATGAACCTTTTCCAGAGCATGTCTCTTCCTATACAGGGGAGCAAAACTAAATAAATCCCAGAGAGGGAAACCTCTCTCGTAAAGGGAGGAATGACTAATGCTCGTGCCAGGACAAGGCCCATCCTGGGTTCTTTCCCAGTACCATGTCTTACTTACTCAAACTTTTGACCAAGTGACGTGGGCCACCCATGCACACTTGCCAGTGGCCCATCGTTGCTTACGGGAAGCATGCCCTGATGACCCCTTTCAGATGGATCCTTGGCATGGTCCTCGGGTACACAGGTAGGTTTGCTGTCTACTGCTAAGCAATGTGCCTTCTGCTCTGTAGTTTTTGTTTTTAATTAAGGCATGAGAATGTCTTCTATGATTGCCCGTGTTACCTTAGAGATGCGGCAGTGTGCAATTATTTGGACACCAGAGGCAATTTTTCCCTTTGAATTTGGCAATACAGGCTCATAAAACTAACCCGCTGTCTATAACGCTGGCTGCTTTAATGGATTTATCATCATCTAATTATACTTAAATGTAATGGCCTGATGTTAGCACCTTTAATCAACAGGCAGGAGTGAGTGGGAGCAGAGGAGTCCCCACCATGGTGTCTGGAAACCTGTCCCCTGGTGGCTCTTAAAGAGTCAGCTCCCTGACTGTGGCTCCATCACTGCCACGTTCTAGCATGGGGGCTGGGAGCCATGAGGGGGCCTGGGAGCCATGAGGGGGCCTGGGAGCCATGAGGGGGCCTGGGAGCCATGAGGGGGCCTGGGAGCCATGAGGGGGCCTGGGAGCTGGTCCATGCTGTTTGCTGCGGGTAAACCACTCATTCAAATGTCAGGGGATCCATCTGTAGTGTGTACCTAGCAATTAAGAATTCCTTAAAAATAGGTCAGATGAACAAATTGGACACTTGCCACCTGTGAACTTGTTGCCTGCCAAGCAGGCTCCAAATTCTACCCTGATTGGTACCATTATGTTGGAACAGGCAGGGGTAGAGTGGTTACAGAGTGAAGGCTGTGGCCAGAAGTAGCTATGACACCGTTAACTGCTTAGTGAGCCTGAAGGACAGGGCTCTACACTCCAGACCACGCCTACTCAAGCTGGTTGTCTCTCTGGGTGGTCAGGGAGCCTCACTCACTTAGCCTCATTTTCTTCATCTCTAATTCAGGATAGACCAGAATGGCAGCTCTCAAGGGGGAGCCTGACCCTAGAGGGACGAGGATCTTTGTTCAGATGAGAGGGAGTGGTCTTATCATAACTGTCTTCTGGTACTTCTGAGCTCAGCTGTGTTTAACCTGGTGTAACACTGGGTTAGTGTGCTCTTCAGGGTGCATTCTCCCCTAAGGTTGGGGAACACGCTGGTTTTGAGTTTGGGGAGGAGCTTTCCTTTCTAACATACAATTTTATAATAATGTCTCCTTTTTGCTAGATGGCTAGATACCGATGGGGGTAAATGGCCTGAGGATATAATGTTAAGGGGGAAATGACAGCATTTTCTATGTTAATTTTTTTATTAAATAAGCCCTCATTTAAATCCTACAGTTGACCTCATCAGAATTGAGAACCATAAGCAATCTAGTGACATCAGGAAGTAACATATGTTATGAATTTAAAAGATTCCATAAGCCGGCTTAGCCGCTTTGCCAAACACCACAAGATGAGGGTCTGAATAACCACCAAGGATGGTAGGTTTTCTACAGGGTTCCCTGAATGGGCAACAGGGATTTCCCAAGAGACTTGGGTGGTTTAATGAAATGATTCACAGCCCTGTGGAAGACTTGGATGTTCTCCTAGTTGAAAAGGTGGGCAGTGTGACTGGTAAGCACAGATCAGGTCAAAGGCGGTCCTCGAGGCAGCTGGGAAGCTTGTAGGAACACTGTGTGAATGGAGCCTGTTTGCATTCCATCACTGCCGAGAAACGCTGTCCTCTAGGTTTGGGCTTGTTTCTTACCAGCGCATCTGAACACACCCACTGAAGTCACATAGGATTCAGAGGACTGGCGTGTAACACCAGGGTGCTTCCCAACCTGTGGGACAGTCACCAATCTGGTCCCTGTTACAAAAGGGGCACTGAAGCCTGAAGACAGGAGGTGGCTTTGAGTGGGGACTGAGAACTGGTTTCCTGGAGTGCTGCGAGTGTTGCATGTGCCCTCTACAGATGCGTACTGCATGCTCAGCTTGCATCTGCTACTTTCGGGCTCCCGGCTCTGAACCAACCACCTCTGCATTCTTAAACTGTCGCTTCATAGGCTGCTCCCTTTATCCGTGCTGTCCCTCCTACCAGTTACCTGACCATTACCTGGCAGTTGAGGAAGGGCCAGGAACAATGCACAGTGCTTTGCTTTGTTAAGTCTTTGTAATTTGGTCAGGGGCAGGTGTGATGATCAGTTTAAGCAATGCTACCCGGGCTCTATACTTACCTGATGTAGTATGTGGGGGACTAACTGCTAGGGCAGAGAAGGGGTTCCATGGGTGCCCTGCCATGCACTTGGCCTCTGGGCAGGAGGGAAAATGTGCAAAGGAGCCTGTCTCCCCTCCCTGTCCTGATCATGTCTTCCTTTCCTCAGCCGCAGGATGAACACTTGAGCAACTTCTGCCGCCTGCTAGGAGTGGAACACAGTCAGATGGAGCACTGGCTGTGCCATCGCAAGCTGGTCACCACCTCGGAGACCTACGTCAAGACCATGAGCCTGCAGCAGGTGGTCAACGCGCGCAATGCCCTGGCCAAGCACATCTATGCCCAGCTGTTCTCCTGGATTGTGGAGCATATCAACAAGGCCCTGCACTCCTCCCTTAAGCAGCACTCCTTCATCGGGGTCCTGGATATCTACGGGTAAGCCTGCACTCCCAGGTTCCACTCTGCTGCTGCTCATCAGTGTGCTCCTGCTGGCATTTAGGAGCCAGCAAAGACCTTGATGGCCTCCTAGCCAGGAGAATTAAAGAGGTGCAAGTGTTATAACTAGAGTCACTGTTGACCCCAAACCAGAGACACCAAGTGTCTTACAGGTGGCAGCTCCCAAGGGAGAATGTGCCCTGTCAGAACACTGATAGCCTTGCCCCCATCATGAACTCTATAGCATGATTTTTCTTAAGAAAGAGTTTTGCTATGTGGCCTAGAGTGGCTTCAAATTTGGAATTGTTCTGCCTCAACTTCCCAGGTACAGGGATTACAACTGTATACTGCCAGGGTCAGATCCATTTTTTACTAGTAGGAAACAGACCCTGAGAGAGTCCATCCTCATTCTAGAAGCCTCTCTCAGTTTTTGTATTTGCTAGATCCCATTTCTGTCTACCACTTGATCTCACTGTCCTCAATGGAGGTGTTGGTTTTAATATGAATTTTGCCCGATTTTGCATAGACTAGTGCTCTATACTAGCATTTGTGAGGATGATCTTCCTTTTGGAATCTTGGGGAAACTGACAGGCTTTTATTTATGACTAATCTCTGCAGGGTGAGGTCACATAGCTTAGAGGGAAGTATACCTGACAAGACACCTAGAAATGGGCTTTCTCTAGCCAGGCTGCCACCAAGAGCCGATGATTACAGATCACAACCCCTTTCTGTCTGTTTCGACGGCTTCCAGTGAGGTTGTGCGCCAGTTGTCCTGGGGTTATTTCAGACCCATCTAGACTCATGACATTATATGGACAGAGAGTATCCCCCTTGCTCTCCTTTTCTCACTCAACTGCCTTGACCTCTTTAAGCTAAGAATAGACTCAATTCTCCTAGAAGGAAGGCTTCTGTCTTAAAATAGCAATCCAGACCCCTAGATTGCAGTATTGCAAGAGCAGCGGCTCTCTAGGGAAGCACAGCATGGTGGGTTGGAACTGAGGGTGTTACAAAGGAGAATCCCCTTCAAAGGGGCCACTTCCTGTACAAATCAAACCAGCTCCCCCACTTCCCGCTGATGCAGTAGCTTGGACCATATGACACGGAGCTTAAATTTAAGACTTAAATTTTATTCTGGGATTACAAAGACCTCAGGAACATGCTGAAGAGTTAAGTGTTGTGCAGAGGTACATTATGCAAGAAGCTGTCGAGACTGCAGAAGAGTCCATCTGAGGGCTTAGATACTCTGTGATGGGTGTGTACGATTCAAACCAGAGGAGCCAGGGAGAGTTTTCTGGCGGAGGTGAGCTGTGAACTGGGTGGAGGAAGTGGGAAGTAGAAGGGTCATCATTGGGAAGAGAAGTACATTCAAGGTGGTAGAAAACGCCCAAGGTGTTGGAGCTGGAGAGATAGTTCGGTAATTAAGAGCACATGTTGCTCCTGCAGAAGGCCTGGGTTCAGTTCCCAGAACCTGTGTGGTAGTTTACATATCTATAACTCTGGTCTGATGTGGGCCCAATGTCTTAATTAAATCCAGTGCCACTTGTTGACTTCTGTGGATACCAGGCGTGCAATCCGGCAAAACACTCATATACACAAATTTAAACAAATAAATATTAAAAATTCAAACAGAAAAGAAGTTATATGATTGAAGAACAAAGGAAAGTGGGAGGTACGTCCTCTCAGAGGTTCCTCAGGGCAAGCGTCTCTCCCTGTGGTCAGCAGGGCACCTCTTCTGCCAAGTCTTCCTGTTGCATCGCAAGAACACCACATTCTTACAGAATTTACTGCCTGGCTGTAAATAACTGATTCTCTTATTTTTCCTCTGCCTTGAGTATTTCTGGGCCATCAAATTTCAGGTGAGAAGACCTTCACTATGGGTGGTGTCATTCCCTAGGCTAGAATCCTGAACTGTATTTAAAAGGAGAAAATGAGTTGAGCACAGGCATTTATTGCCCTGTGCTTCATCCTAAGGGACAGTGTGACCACCTGCCCCATGCTCCAGATGTTATTACTTCCTTCAAACCATGGGCTGTAACCTCCAACTATGATCCACAAAAGCCTTCCTTCCTAAGTTGCTTTGGGTGGAGTATTTTGTCACAGTAACACAGGTAGGTTGCGGGAAATGGACCAGATGTTATAACCCACTGTCTCCTGGTCTTCCTTCCAAACAGGGCCCTAAAGGTCAGCCCTAAATCTCAGTGTAGAGTTAGAGCTGGCCGGAGTTCTGAACAACAGATGAGCTGCTTCATGTTTATGTATAAATGTAAGTGTTTCCACAGATCAGAGCCCGCCCTGAAGTAAACACTTACGATGCAAGCAAGCACCATAGGAACCAGCTCCACGCTGCACATCTGAACCCCACATGTGCTGACTGGCAGGTAGCTTATGAAGTAGAAAAGGTTGTAGCTGCCCCTAGAAGACTGCTACCCACTGGGCTCTCTTGCAGGCCTTCTGAGCAGAAGCTCCAGACACGCAGTGCCTGGGTATCAGAACGCCTTTGCTTTCTTTAGCTCCTTTTTATGTTCTCCAGAATAGTGCAAGATAAGCAATGCCCAGAACAGTTATGCCAAGCCAAGCTGTTCTAACTAAGGACCTATGAAACTCTCTGTGGGATGTTTCCTGCCAGCCAGGCTTGGACATTGATAGAGGACAGCCTGGCAGCTTTTGGCTGGCATTTCCTTACACATGGATTAGCCAGCATTTGCCTCTGTTGACTTTATTGGTTACAAGGGTAATCTGTTATTCATCCTTGAGGCGTCAAGAAATAAATGGCTCAATTTGGGGGAAATCCACACTATTTTTTTGTCTTTGATTTTAGCTTTCAATTGCCAAGCTTTGGTTCCAGCCAGTCCTTTTGGGCAGAGGACAGTGCAGGATGCAGTAGGTGAGGAGCACTGCAAGAGAAGCTGGAGTAAGAAGTAGGGGGAAGAAGGATATGGGCGTTACTATTTATTTCGATTTTTTTCTCTGTTGCTATGGCAAAATACCCTAACAAAACCCACAAAAGAGAGGATTTGTCTTCACAGTTCAAAGTCAAGCCTATCATGGTAGAAGTCAAGGCAGCAAGCTGAAGCATCTCATCACATGTATCCACAATCCAGAAATTAGTATGAATATCAGGGTTCATTGTGCTTTGCTATTTTAATATATTTTTGGGTTTCAGGAATGTAGTGCATATTCTAACATTAACCCCTTAGTGGAGGGGAGTTTCACGTGTGCCAGTTCTACTCTGTAGATGCACCGCCCTGTATTTGTAAGCAAATTTCTTAGATTTATCATTGCCTTCATTTCCTGGGGAAAGGAAATCTTCTTTGTGTCATTGGTTTGTTTTGCCTTAGGTTTCCCTCTCCAGAGCAGGTGACTGCACAGGCCTAGTATAGTTACTCAGAGAAGCCTGCCCAGCCTCTCCTGAACCTGTGGGTGCTGAAGGGGAACAAACCCTGTGACTGAATTTACCCACTGGCCTATCGAAAGTAACCCAGTTCTTGGTGGCCTGGAAGGTCACAGGACATTGTTAACTTTAGAGTAACCATAGCTAGCTAGCTAACCTCAATGTTAGACCTCACAGACCGTGTGATACTGTTATGTTGATCTGTCCTATCCTGGCATCTGAAGAGAACTTTACATCCTAGGGTACTCCAAAGCCTGTGCAATCTCCTGGACTCATGCAGGGGTGTCCAGCCCTTTGACATTGCAAAGCAATGCTATCATCCTCCAGGTTTATACTGTAGAACTGTGCGGTCAAGTTATCAAAAAAAAGTGGGGGCATGCTGGGGAGCCAGAGAGGGGAGGACCCTGAGGCTTTCTGACCACACAGGCTAGCAGAATTAGTGAGCTCCAGGTTCAGTGACAGAGACTATCTCAAAAAAAGGTGGAAAAGTGATTGAGAAAGACAACATACACTAATCTCTGTCGTCCACAGGCACATGCATGTGTGTGTGCCCACCCCATACATGTGTGCCCATACCTACATACACGCGAATGCATACATGAAAGTCACAAATCACTGTTTTAAGAAAGTTTATGATTCTGTGTTAGGGGCTATATTTACAGCTATCTTTGATTACATGTGACCCATAGGTTGGGCATACCTGTTAGTCCTTTAGAAGATGCCCCCCCCCATAAATTGATTGCTCAAATGAAGCCCCAATTTTTTCCTCTGTCTATATTCAGCCTTCATGATACTGTATCCTCACCTCTAAAAGCCTAGGGCAGATGAAGTTAATACTCCCCATGTCTTAGGGTTTCTATTGCTGTGAAGAGACACCATGACCACAACAACCCTTATAAAGGAAAGCATTTCATTGGGCTGGCTCACTCACAGCTCAGAGGTTCAGGCTATTGTCATCATGGTGGGACATGGTGTGACATGGTGGCATGCAGGCAGACACGGTGCTGGAAAAGTGCCTGAGAGTCCTACATCTCGCAGACGACAGGAAGTGGTCTGAGACAATGGGCCGTATCTTAAGCGTGTATGAAACCTCAGAGTCCACCCCCACAGGTGACACAATTCCTCCGACAAGGCCACACCTACTCCAACAAAGCCACACCTCCCAATAGTGCCACAACCTTTGGGGGTCATTTTCTTTCAAACTACCACACCCCCAAAAGGTTCTCATCTACTCCAATGCCTTGTGAACAGATTTCTGGTCGTCAACTGGGGAAAAGGAATCATTGCTTGCTCTTCATTGTGGTTCTTAGAAGTTTGGCTAATGGGTTTGGAGAGGTTTAGTACCCGACAGTGGGCATTTTCTGATCCCCATGGAAATAAGGCATGAAAATGACCCAGGGATTAAGACACTGGCAGGGGCTGCTCTCCTTCCAACAGTGCCTTAGACTGGGGTCTTGCAGAGGACAAGCTGTAGACAGGACACACACTAGCACAGGAACAGTTGGAAGCTCTGCCATTTGATGAACAGACTGAGGATGGTTGGTAGACGGAGGAGTGTATCCTTTTCTCTGTCAGACTCTAGGGTGCCCCTGGGAGAGTGCATGGCTTT